CCGGGCCGGCCCAGCCCGCCGTGGGCGCTCACCCGCTGGCCGGCCCAGCCCGCCTCAGTGCCGTCTGCTGACCGCGCGTCGTGTTCTCACTTTCCCTCGCCCTGTTTTTATTTGGCATCAAGTCGTTGCCTTTATTTGTAAAGCTGTCATGAAATATATATTATATAAATATATTACAGGGAAGATGTTCCAGATGTTTATTTGTATAATTATTTGATCGACAAAGTGAGGAAAATGAATGTATTTCTGTTTTTGAAGAGAAGAGCTTTTTCTCTAGGGAGAGGCACAGTGTTTATATTTTGGGCCCTTCCTAAAGGTGTGAAATTGTAAATATTTTTATCGATGAGTCAATGTTAAGTAGTTGTTTTAAAATAATAAAATAATCCTTTTCCTGTGGAAGAGAGAAAAGGTCTCGTGCGTTTCTGAGCTGGCTGCAGGCCTGGCTGCAGGTGGCCCAGGGCTGGGGGGTTCGTGGTCCCTGGGCTGGGGGGTGCGCGGTCTTGGGGCTGGGGCCTCGCGTGGTCCCGGGGCTGGGGGTCCCGGGGCTGGGGGGCACGTGGTCCCCGGGCTGGGCGCACGAGGTCCCGAGGCTGGGGGGTCCCCGGGCTGGGGCGCGGTCCCGGGCCCTTCACTCAGCTTCTCAGGGCCCCGCCTGCGCCGGGTCAGACGGATCAAGCGGCCCTGGGAGCTCCCTGCGTTTCCTTCTCTTCTAGGAGCCTTCGTCAGGCCGCCGCCCTGTGTCCCGGTCAGGCAGCGGGATGCGTCCTCCCGGGCCGCGTCCGCGCCCGCTTCGGGCCTGCAGAGGCAGAGTGGGCGCCCTGGCCGGCGCCTGGGCCGCGGGGGCAGGCTGGAAGGGCTCTTAGGCACTGAGAGGCGACGCCGGCAGGCCTCTGCCCGGACGCTCCAACTTGTGTTGGACGCAGCCGGGTCCAGTGGGCCCTCCGCCTCCTGCCCGGGATCGTCCCGCGTCCTCCCGGAGGCGTGCATGGTGTGCGAGCCTCAGCGTTCCTTGGCCAAGGGGGGAGATCATGGGCAAAGAAGTGGGCCTGGCCCCAGGAAGACTCCGGCCCCCCCCCCGCCTCCCGGCCAGTGCGCGGCGCCTGGCGTTTCGGCGCCTCGGCTGGAGCCCTGCTTCCCGGGGCCCGGGCCCAGGCGGGGACCCTCCCTGGGAGTCCTCGGCCAGGCGCCCACCCACTCTGTCTCCGGAGGAGCCGGCGGGGCCGGCGGCCTGGGCTGGGTGAGACGGGCAGGCCGCGGCGGGCGCGAGTCCAGGCAGGGAGTCCAGAGTGACCGCGGCCGCGTGAGATGCCCGGGGGCTGGCCCTGCCCTGCACACCTGCTCTGCTCAGGTGAAGTAAAACCTCCGCCCGGCTTCCACGCCCTCGGGGACAGATGGGAAGTGGCCTCCCGCGGCTGGGCCCCGGGCGGGCGCCTGCCCCAGGCCCCTGAATTCCTTCCTGCCTCGCTGGGCTTTCCTGGCTAGACTTTTTTGGTAAAAACCTAAACCAGTCAAGTCTATCCGGGGATGGGCCAGGAGTTGAAATCAAGGCCAAACCCTTTCGCACCCCCCTTTCCTGGCGCTGTGACTCAAGGGCCCAGGAGGAAGTGGTCTGCGGAGCGGCACTGACGCGGCCGGCGGGTCCCCCCCGCCGCCAGGGCCCTCCTGGCTTCCGCGCGCCGAACCCCCAGACGCAGCCGTTCTGGCCTGCGCGGCCTCCGGTGTCCTTGGCCTCCCCTGCCCGGCCGGGGCAGGTTCCAAGTGGCTCGCAGGGGTGCCGGCCCCCATCCGGGACCAGCAGGACCTGGGGCGGGCGGGCG